AAGGGGGGGGGGGGGAAGTTGACGGAGGACAATCTATCGCTCTTTTCTGTCTGTATGGCCATAAATCTGTGGTTGGTGTGCAGGAACCTGCGTCTGTCGTCAGTGACATTCATCATGACGGTGGCGAGCCTCGTGGCCTTCCTCATCTTCATCCCCTCTGTCTACATGGTGAATGAACAACAGCCGCACACACAGACACACACAGACGTCCATTCCCGTGTGTCGTGTCGTGTGTCGTGTGGTGTGTCGCACGTCGTCCAGACGACGCCCTTTGGGTTTCTGGGAGGGTTTTTCCTGGGCATGATCGTCCTCTTCATGACGCAGGGGCTGATGAACCTCGGGCTGCTGCTGGCTGTGCCCCCCGAAAACCGCTCCTTTGCCTTTGCTCTCGCTACCATCCTGCTGCACCTCCTGGGGTGGGTGGGGTGGGAGCCGCCAGAGACACGACACACTGCTGAGCTGGAGATCTTTCTGAGTGTGTGAATGTGTGTGTGTGTGGCTGGGCGTGGCCTCTCAGCGACGTGCCGTCGCCGGTGCTGATAGGGATGATCAAGGACCGCCTCGCGCCTCACTGCACCCTCAAGGACCCCAGCAAAGACACACCGGTGGGCATTCATTGGGAAGGGAAGGGCCTCTGTGGGCCGGGCCGCACGTATGTATCTGTCCTTTGTATGGGTCAATGTATGTGTGTGCTGATGTGCAGGCGCGCCGTCTGCAGTGCGGGAAGGAGAGGATGGGGCTGCGCTTCACGCTCCTCATACTCGTGTGGTGGTTCGCATGGATGGTAACCAAAAAGGCTGGGAGGCAGGGAGGGAGGGAAGCAAGGAGCCGAAACGGCTGTGTTGTTGTCTCTGTGTCTGTGTGTGTGCGCAGTGGTTATCGTTCGGCATAGTGTTTCTGCAGGCGAGGCTGAGGTGTCGGCGGCTCATGCAGCAGCAAGACAAGGACGCCACGCAGAAGAACCCCACTACCACTGCAGACCCACCACAGCTGGACGACCGGCCAGCCCACGTGTGATGACACGTGTGACACGTGTGACGGACGGCACCTATAGCTATGTGCTGTGCACCTACCTTTGTCGTGCGTGTTGGTTGTGACTGTGCGGGAGCGGCGCAGTATGTCAGTCAGTCAGTAAGTAGGTGCATTGTATGTCTTTGTTGCTCAAGGCTGTGTGTGTGCTGTCACAGTGCGAGGCAGTCCTTTTCTGTCAGTCGAGCGAGAGAGGGTTTCTCGGTAGACACGTCGTGGGAACCTAACACATTTCCCCATGGAGTAACTAACTCTCATGCCCAACAAAGCGGCTCACGGCACCACACGCACACGAACTACCTCGAAGCTGGGAGAAACACCACGCGCAAAAAGCACCGTGCGCACCAACGATATGCAAAAAAATGAACCAGAGGGCGCCAACACACGCGACAGGAACATCAGCCCTTTTTGCCCCTCGACTTTGCCTTTGCCTCCAGCGCCTCGAGCTCAGCGATGTTTGCCTTGATCTGCACGTCGCATTCCTGCCGCAGCTTGGGCTTATACCCGCACGCAAACATCAGCTCCAGCACCACGAAAAACGGAGCCGAGAAGATCTGCACCGCACAAACATCCGTCCCGGCCCGTCCACACAACATGCACCGTCAGTCAGGGCCATTCCAACCAACCCAATCAGTCACCCAGCGCTCTGTACCTGCAGCAGATTGTCGAAAAGAGCTGGCCGGCGTCCCTCAAAGACAAAGTGCCCGATGAACTGGGCCGTCCAGCCCAGCAGGTGGAAGGGCAGGAGCACCTTCCAGTACAGACCGGGCTGCAGCAGGCCGTACAGGCGGTCAGACACCAGCATCATCACCACGTAGACCACCGACTCAACCGCAGCAGCGGGCACGTCGGACCTCCACGAGACCTGATGAGAGGTAAGCATAAGAAGTAGAGGTAAGAAGAGAGGTCAGACGCAGCATCTACCAGCAGATGGAGATGTAAGAAGTAGAGGTAGTTGAGTGAGAGGCCCCAGGGTCCGTGGAGGGTCAGCCGACAGTCGGGGAGCCGGGCATATTCGATGAAGCCGAGGAGGGTGAAGAGGATGACAGGAATGAACACGATGTGCAGCACCTTGTTGACCCTGGTGCATGGGGTGCAAAGGCAGCACAGCACACATGCAGGCGTGACAGTCAGTGCAGCCGAGAGGACAACGGATGAATCCCGATTCTCTTTGTCCGTCCGCCATTCATTCCTGCGTACTTTTCATTGTGGTATGCCCCATAGCCTGCGTAGAAGCGCACGCAGAAGTCCTGCTGCCCCATGCTTCGTTAACGAGAGCCAGATCTGGAAGCAAACAGATTCATGCTGAACAGATCTTCCCACGCCACGTCCTTCACTCACCTTCACCTTTCTCCCTTCTAGCTCGCCACAGCCTCTAGGGTGCTCCCTGAAACCACTGCTCCACCTCAAGCGGGAAGGAACGAAGAGGACGGACAGGTGTGTCATCCCCCCCATAGAAAGTCACCTCATAGAGTCCTTCGTTCACTTCGAAGTGTAGAGGGAATGAAGCGCTTCGCGCGCGGTTTCGCTTCGCCTCTGTTGGGTTCGTCCAAGCGCGCCGCGGGTGTGATTCCGCCCACTCACGGCACGTCCTACTTCTATGCGGCGCGTCAGGCCAGCGGACTTCTCGCCAGGCCCTCCGGCCTCGCCTCTGGCGCTCAGCCGGACTACTCGGCCGCCAAGGGCATGCCCAGCACCCTGCTCTGGCAGACCAATGTGAGTGACCGGGGGGACGGGGAGGGATGCATCGCATGCCACACACAACACACAACACACAGACAGACGAGAGGAAGGGAACAAACAGAACGAGGGAACAAACAGGGCCACTGTCGGTCAGTGGTATCCACCATGTGTCTCGCTGCGTGTTGGCGTGTGGTGTGTGTGTTGTGGTGTTCAGGGTTCGTCTGGCGTGCGTATCGAACCTGATATGACGTTCGAGTTGCCTGAGGCGGCGCCCGTGCCGTCGTCCCGATCGGATCCCTCTGTGTCGCCATCGCACTTGCCGTCGGCCTCCCGTGGTCCCGTGGAGGTGGCCATAGAGGAGCCCTACACGCCACCCGAGCCGGCCACCTCTGCCCTCGTGAACAACAGCCTCTACACCAAGGACGCCTTCTACGCGCCGCTGAGGAGGCCCATCGAGGAGGCCACGTCGCTGCCGCCCGTTGGTGAGGGTGAGGGAGAGGGGAGGGAGGGAGGGAGGGAGG